ACGATAGCGGTTTTATCCTGGGAGGAGAGTGCCCACGTTTTCCGGTACGGTAGGCGGGCACTACTACCTTAAGGACAGCTCCGGCGACTCCGCTGTCCTTCCACGGTGTTGTGTTTTGCAGGTTCAGTTCATAAAGACCTCGCTGCATTCTGTCCTAGTGCATAATGTCCTCGCAGCCCAGTGCATAATGTCCTCGCAGCCCTGTGCATAACGTCCTTGAATCGCTGTCCAGTGTTTAAAGACCTCACTGTCCAGTTCTTAAATACCTCGCTGTCCAGTGCTTAAAGACCTCGCTGTCCAGTGCTTAACGTCCTCGCAGTCCAGTCCTTAATGCCCTCGTACAGCAAGGCTGTTTGAAGATATAGCAATTTATTTTCAGCTTTGTTTATTTTGTAATATTCTGAATAAATTATAAATTCAGAATTTTATTTATTTTTATTTTCCGGGGCCGTTCATCTTCCCTGTCTGTTGTAATTCGTACGAGAATTGTAACAATCTTAAGGTAGTAGTCATATCCGTGCGCAATGGCGGGTATGGACGGATTCGACTTTGACGCTCACACCGGAAACGGGAGTAGTTCCGAGACTCCGGTTGTGAACGTTTCGGCTGGATTGGGTGGCTCTGTTGGGCAGACCACTCCGATAAACATTCCTTTCGGATCGAGTGCGGCCATGGGGTCCACTCCGATCACCACCTTCGTTGGATCGAGCGCGACTATGGGGTCCGCTCCGGTCACCTCGGTTATTGGACCAACCGCGGCTACGGCTGCAATGGTCACCCCACTCGGACCGAATATGGCTTCGGCCATACCGGTCATTCCCTCACTTGGACCGAATACGGGTGTCTTCACATCCGCACCGGTCAGACATCCTACTGTCATGCTGCCTGCGAACTCTGTCAAAGAACCGGCAAAGTTCACAGGTGTTGGTTTTAAAATATGGCAGCAAAGGATGTTATTTTGGCTGACCACCCTCAACCTTGCGAGGTACTTGAGGGAGGATCCCCCTGTTGTGGGGGAGAACGCGGACGAGCCAACAGTTCAGGCTAAAGAGGCATGGATAGCGAATAACTATACGTGCCTTAATCTTATCCTGAATTGCTTGAGCGATGCCTTATATGCAGTTTATAGCAGGGCTGCATCCGCAAAGGAGTTATGGACTACACTGTCCAACAAATACCAGGCCGAGGACGCCGGTGCGAAGAAATTCGTTGTCGGTAAGGTCTTGGATTTTAAGATGGTGGATTCCAAACCCGTGGTCAGTCAAGCTGAAGAATTGATTCTCATTTTTAATGAGTGCACTGACGAGGGAATGGGAGTCAGTGAGGCATTCCAAGTGGCGGCGATTATTCATGTGCTCCCGCC